TGGACATAACTGGTTGAAACTATATCCCCCCCCCCCCATACAAAATTCTATTTTTCACGATAAATGCCATGGACCATAGTATTGAATCATGTTACCCTTCTTAAATTAAGCCTCCGCTCTCCCAATGATGGAATAGATGCTTTTCTACTCAACAAGACAAAAACAAGGTAAAGCGATTAAAACTATTTATTTTCCTAATCATTTTAGCCTAATAAGGGACCGGTCATTATTTATGGCGGGGGGTGGCACCGAAGAGAAAAAGGTTGGGTAAACTAAATTTTGAGTAAATAAACGGTTGGGTAAATAAAAAACAAAACAACTGAAGGATTGGGTAATAAAAAAATATTGTCATTTCCAATTAAAAGCAGGACTCACTTAAATATTGGAGACTGAAAAGCAATGTCAACATTCAAATGTGAATACAATATGTGAATCAATCAGAGTCACTATCTTGATCATTTTCCGATTTGTTGGGAGACAAATGGTGTCTCCAAAGAAAGTACATGTACAGACAACATGAAACTTTAGACTGCAGCAAATTACACAATCCGTTATCAAAATCGTGTCACAGAAGTGGTAAGGGCACATGTGACAACTGAATGGTATCCTTTTGTATAACCGTTTTGGCCAGGGGTGGGTATTTATTTTTAATTGATATTTGAGGTTGGGTAATCAAATTTTTGACTTTAATGGTTGGGTCAGAAAATTTCTCTTCGGTGCCACCCCCACCATAAATAATGACCGATCCCTAACATGCTTCAAAAATGTTCTTTCGACACGCAGCAACAATACACACTTATTATGTCCCGAGGGAAATAGTTTGTTTTGTTTTCACGAGAGTCTCAATTCGTCGAGGGAAACATTGAGATTAGAGGGAAAACAAAACTATTTCCCGAGGGAACAGACATTAAGCGTTTTGTTATACCTGTACAGTATAGCGAACAACAAATGTATTTCTTGACAAAACGCTATAGACAATATAGACGTGTAAACGAGTTTAAAATTAAAAGAACCTACTTATAAACGGTTTGAGCAGCATATCCTGTTGCCTGTTCTGTATTTTTCTTCTCTTTTACATTTTTTATTCGAACACAAACTTGGAAAATCGTAGTTTCTAATTATGTTAGATGTGCCGCATTTAACATTTATAAACATATATGACTGAAATTAGTCTAGAAATCATGTTTAAACTGCCGTTTAAAAGTGTTTTTTTTTTATTTATGTTTGAGGACAACTCCTTCGCTCTAGTATTTATATTTTAACGTATATTTTTCGAAGTAAAGCTGAATATATGCTAAGCATTTGAAACTAAACATTTAGCACTGATATTTTGATACCTATATATGTCAAAGGAATAGCTACTTGTTTTTCCCATTTTAATAGGTTGGGAAAAAACACATTTCGGGCTTGACACTAAATCTATTGAATCAGTTCAGCTTATTTTTCTATGTTTAGTATCGGTAGGGAGGATTTTTCAAATTTTTGGATAACTTTTTCCGTTTCAAAATTGTCTTCACTCCTCGGTTTGTTTTGGCGCGAAACGTGAGAGGTCGTAATTTGTGCGAGAGTTCCGTATCGTGTGATACGGACCTTTCGTCAACCAGTCAGAACGCTCCATTTACGTTACGGACCTGGGAGTACGGACCGGATAAAAATAGTCTTCTTTTGCCAGAAGCGATTCCTACCATGTTACTAGGGCGTAAACCTCGAAATACATGCATTGGGTTTTTTAATTCAACAAGACGCCGGCTCAGGCACACACTCGTGCTCGAAGGGTACTGGTTAGCATCACTTGAGGGATACAATTATGCTTGTTGTGGGAAGCGTGGAGCTAATCGTTACTAGTAAGGCTATGTAGTAACCCTGGGCGGATACTATATACAATACGGCGGTCAGATGGAATAACGTTTGGTAAAGTATTCAGTAGGCATTTCTTGAAACATCGATATTCTGTTAGGTTCATTGAAAGATGTAACTTTTCATGTACTGACGCTAATGAAAATGAGAAACTGATTAATATTCATGAAAACTTAGCACTACTGCATGGTAGTAGGCGTATTGTAACAACTTTAAAACAGCAGTGAAAAAGTACCTCCCGCAAATATTTAATAGTGAACTGTCAAACACTGTGACCTGGCAATGGGGTGATCTATTTTTAGCCAATAAACGAACAGGGTTTTGTCAGGTGCCCAGGTGGTGTGATCAGTGTGACAAGCTCTATCCAGGTTCTATATTTTCAGATCAGTGGTAATAGCATATCTGGCCAATCAACGGCTGGCGACAAGATTGTCAATTTCATGAGATGTAGTCATGTACATAGGTACTAGCAGAAGTAAACAAAAGACATTTACCACTCAAAATCAAAAATTACCACTCAAAATCTGAGCAAAACGCATGTTAGATATTTAATATAAAAGTTATTAAACTTAAAAGTACGTCAAAAATTTATCACGCAAGTAACGCCGAGCACTCGAAAATAATACATTTACATGCATTATCACAAATGCCGTATAGCACATCATATTTACAAATTATATGGCGTATGGGTAGTGTTAGTTTGAAATAGTTATAATTCTTTATTGAATTCTGATCGTTTAATTGGCTGTTTATGGTCACGTGATATTTAATAGAAAATTCCATTTCCTAAGAGTGCAATGGAATACGTTCCATTGCACTCTTTGCGAGTGCAATTGTACTATACGTTTTACTCCATTGCACTCTTTGTGTTTTCGATAAATCGCGTCCGTCAAAATTCTTCTCGTACGATGATCGCAGTTTATTTTAACCCGATATTCGAAACTCGGTAAATGGGATTTAATGCAAATACGACTCGTCAAAATGGCGGGAGCTTACAGTAAACCTTTTAATATTAGTCTATTTTGGTATTATATAAAACAAATGATGAATGTTTTTATTCGTGCAATGGTAAGAATATTTTCATTCGGTGAAAGGTGGAATGTTCCACTCAACTCGGCTGCGATTTGCTCTTTTTTGTATTGGAAAGTGGGATTTACTCAGGGACGCCGGAACGATAAAAAGGCAAAGGGGGGGCAGACGCACACCAAAGGGCACCTCTATAGATCTAAAGTTCGAAATTTACCTGAATTTTTTTTTTACATTAGATTTTTTTGGGCGACCTCCCCCCCCCATTTATTCAGAATTTTTCAACCGAAGAAACTGACAAAATAGTCTAAAACAAACATTTGAGAAACACTGAAATCCACAAAACTGGCGACACAGGTTTCCAAATAATGCACAAAAAGAAATTATCATTTATTGAACAATATCTCGGGCTCCGTCCTAGAGATACAAATAACTGTTTCCGCTGAAAATGTCGCGGACACCTGCGTGTAATTCAGTTTTGGCTTCAATTCAGTGTAATTCAGTTTTGACTGCAATGCAGTCTATATTAAATTAAACCAATTATTATATTATTATTATTATTATTAAACACCGATAATTATGCCCAGGCTTTTTGCCAATGTGACAATGAGAACAGAGTACAATGAACAACAATTAAACTAGTTTCACTACGATTAGTGCCAATTCATGAAGTCAGTAACTCAAAAAGTCTTAAAACAGTTCTTACGGATGGCAGTCTTGCACTCAAAATTTAAATTTTAAGTACGTATATATCCAACACGAATATCGCCTGTATTATAAAAGCTCACTCACACTCAAAGAGTGGATGTTCAGCCTGAGCTTCCCTTTAGTGTCAGTACTGTTTTTGAATAGCTGGAGGGTTAGTGTCGTACCTTACTATGTGACTACTCACCTTAAAGTTATTCAAAACGGCATTGATACACAAGGGAAGCTCAGATTGAACCTCCACTCTTCGAGTGTGAGTACATATAAGTGAGCTTTTAGAATACAGGCGTAAGTGTTCTTCCTCTTATTTCTAAATACAGACAAGCAGGTTGAAAATACGAGCCGAAGCCAGGTTTTTTTAACCAGCTTGTCTGTATTTAGAAATCAGAGGAAGAACACTTACTCGTGTTGGATATAACTTCTCAAACGAATCAATACATTCAGAGAAAATCGAGTTTAAAGTTGACGAAAAATGGCTGTAATCTTCCTCTTATTTCTAAATACAGAATTAATATGCATTTCTTTTGAATTTCCTTCATGAATTATTAATGAGTTTGAGAAGGGTAGTTCTCGTTGTAGAGAAATCCATAAAATACTCTTATTCAGATAAAATGTTCACAAATTTTGCAAAATTTTAACTTTAGTGGCCATTTTAAAATTGCCTATTTTTCGTATAACCTTGTAGTTTACTCGTTAAACACTTTACACTTCTCAATTGCAAGGGACAAAGGAAATCATGTCAATAGTGACATCGAATACCTTACCAAGGAACAACCACCATACGGCTGCGGAGCTGGATGTCTTCGACAATGGGCATGGTTTCAAAAAATCTTTGTTGTGTTTCTTGAAAAGCTCTTTGAAAAAGCGGCCATGTTTATTTCGCAACGGCCATTCCATGTGATATTCTTTTGTCTTTTCGTCGCCATTGGCCTGACCTGTGGATTTGTGAAGTTGGACGTAGAGCAAAATGTGAAATACTTGTTTCTACCTGAAGACAGCGAAGCATCACAGGATATACGTAAGGCAAGACATTTTGGTTTTGAACTTGAATTTCGACAAGAAGAGATTATTGTTTTGCCAAAATATAACAAGTCTGTTCTGTCGCAAGAATGTTTGGCAGAAATGATTGATTTACATAAGATTATCACTCAAATAAAGCTTCACGACGATTACTGTTTTAAACCCAACCCAAATAGCAATTGTGCCTCGATAAATTTGTTAGAAATTTTCGGTTACCAAAAGAAAAACCTGGTCAATATTTCACGGCGCATTAACACCATACTCCAGAATGATTCTTTTCTTATGTCAAATGGAAGACGACTTCAAGATAATGTCAATCAAATCTTTGCGAAAGCTGCCTCCAATGGTACAAATCTTGATTCCAGAAACGCCTTAAGAATTGTTTACTTTATGAAAGAATATCCGAGGGGAAACGAGGGCAGGGAAGGAATATTAAAGTGGGAAAAACATTTTTTGAATGAAATATCATCTTTCTCAGAAAATACTACATGTGCAAACATTGTCTACGCAGCAGAACGGAGCCTGGACGACTCAGTGGCAGAAAGTACTGCGTCTGATATTAAGTTCTTTGCACTGACATTTACAATTATGGGGATTTTCAGTGGAATTATAAACGGTAGATGCGCAGATGCTCGCTTTGGACATCAACTTTTAGGATTTGGTGCCCTGTTATCTATTTATTTAGGGGTCACAGCCGCACTTGGCTTCTTAATGCTAATCGGCGTTCCCTTTGTTAGTATGGTTGGTATTCTGCCATTCTTGGTCGTCAGTATTGGTATAGATGATGTGTTTATTATTCTTCATGAGCTGAACGAAATGGTTCATCAAAATATTCCTGCTAAGTATATGCTTAGTGGCACAATGGCTAAAAGTGGACCAACTATAACCATGACGACCCTCACTGATCTCGTAGCATTCGCCGTTAGCTGTCGTTCTATCTTTCCCGCGATTCGTTTGTTTTGCACATACGCAGCGCTGGCGATTGGGTCTGCATTTTTTATGCTGGTGACGTTTTTCGTTGGTTGCATGTGGTTTGATATCAAACGAATCAACGCTCAACGTCGAGATTTCGTGCCTTGTTTGATGAGTCCTCCTCCCACCGACTGCTGTTCTGGTATTCGGGCTAATGGATTTGACAACGTAATGCGCGCTTGGGGGAAGGTAATAACTTCCTCTCCAGGGAAAGTTTTAGTCTGTCTGTGTTCCTTACTACTCCTGTCAGGTGGTATTTACGGCGCTCTCAATATAGACGAAAGTTTCAACAGGCAATTGTTAACAACTGAAGATTCACACTACCGAAAATTCCTGAACGTTTATGAAGAAAACTTTCATCTTAATATCGAAGTAAATATCATCTTCCCTGGACAAGTGGATCACTCAAGCCAAGAAATTCAGAAAATGTATTCCACTGTTAAGAGTCTTGCTAAAAGTAATGGCCACTTTCTTTCAGCAAGGATATCTTGGTTGTCAGAATATCAAACGTGGGCAAAGGAAAAGAACATTGACATAAATGATACCAGAATCTTTTACAAAACTTTGTCAGATTTTATTTCCTTGCCAAAATACAGAAGGTTTGCCCAAGATTTGAAATTTTCTGAAAATAAAACTCATTTGACAGCTTCAAGGATTTTGCTGTATTCCAAGAGCAGCCCTGACTCGATCTTTCAAAGAGATATGATGGTCAGCATAAGAGAAGATCTCTCTCGTTTCACAGATATCGATGCATTTGCTGTTGCCCTACCTTTTATCTACTTTGAACAGTATGCTCATGTGCTTAACGAAACTATCAGAAACTTAATTGTTGCTGGAATTTCAATTCTTCTGATATCATCCATGTTCCTAAATCATTTTGTAATAATAATATGTCTACTGTGTGGATTTCTTGCTCTTATACTTGAACTACTCGGACTAATGTACATATGGAATGTCTCAGTGAACTCACTTTCCATGATAAATCTTGTTATGGCTTTAGGATTTTCTGTTGATTACAACGCACACATCGCTTATCATTTCGTATCCTCCAAGGCTGGCTCTCCTGAGTTTCGGGTCATTGACGCACTAGGCAAAATTGGCGGTAGTGTTTTTCTCGGAGGGTTAAGTACTTTCCTTGGAATGATGCCAACAGGATTTGCTTCCTCTACAATATTCCGAACATTTTTCAAGATGTTTGTTGGTATAGTAGTTCTTGGTTTGGTTCATGGTTTGGCTATATTACCTGTGTACTTAACACTTCTAGGAAAGGTATTTGACTTCCGTGAAATGAACATTGACTCAATTATAATAAAATGGTTCAAGCGTGTAAGAAAACAGAAGTCCTATAAAACTACAAGCACAAACTCATCTGAATATGTCGCAAAAGCTAAAAATTCCATTC